GCATGTAAACATTTTTATTAAACCTCAGCTCCAGCCAAATGTCTTATGCTAGCTTAAGTCTTCAGAAAAAAAATTATGTGCATAAGTTGTTTTAACAAATATTTTTAAATAACTCGAAATATGCGCTCAATGAACTTACACCCTGCTATACTATAAAATTAATCTTAGACCATAAAAAAAAAAGAAACATGTTTTCTGACACTTAAATACTCGGGGCACCAACTATAACCCGCTACTATAAACCAACAGATGTCATCCAGAACTTGCATTCGTTTTATTGTGTGTAAGAAACACCTCATGCTGACAAGGAAGTAGAACAAGGAATGGCAAATATAAAATTTTGCAACCTGCCTACAAAAAGGCACAATTAAGATCTCTGACATCAGACTCCGTGTCTGCCCTTGAAGGACAACAAGTATGCAGGCAAGAAGGAAATAAGCAAATATTAAAGTACACACTAGGGAGGGTAAAGTAAATGAACTTCTTCTGCCAACACACAATATAGGCGCCAAGTAAAGAGACAAGGGTTCTGATTTTTGAAGCCGTGATAGAACCTAAGGCTTGCTTTATTGGCCTCTCAAGCAACATTGTTGCATGTAAAAATATTACATGAGAGGGAATTATACCTTAAAAGGAAAATATAATTGGTTGTATAAAACTTATATATACAGTATATACTGTATATATACACACATATAGATTATACATACACAGTATGTATAATCTAAGTTCTGCAAATAAAAATTAAAGACTTGAAAAATTATCCCCTATGTACTCTGGGTAACCTATAGAAACAGCACAACAAACCGCTCGCTTTGCAAATTCCTTTGTCTGATTGAGGGCTTGTTCACACCATTTTCTGGTCCAGATCTGAAGCAGATTTGCAGACGCGGTGCAATGCGTGCAGCGCGTCAGTATGCAGATTCTTGCTCGGAGGTCACTTCCAGCCTTCATCAAAAGTGGAGCAAGAATACACTTTTTTTTCAGTTAGCTGCACTGCGGTGCGTTTCCGGCGCGTTTTCGACACGTTCGTATGCGTTCCGGGCCAGAAAAAATGTGACATGCAGTATTTTTTCTGTCCGGAACGGAAAGCACTGCGCTGGTGTGAACTGGAGCCCATAAAACACATAGGGATACATTGTGATGCGTTTTTAGTGCAGGAACTAACTGTTCTGGTCTGGACAGAATCCGGACATCGTGTGAACAAGCCCTCAAACTTGCCACTGAGCTGTCTGATAAGAAAGGAGTCCCTGCTGACCCCCCAAGTGTCACTGCGACATCGTTCTGTGTCAGTGTGTCATTTTTCTTGGACCTCAACTGTTAGTGTGACATTGTTCTGAGGGACAAGGCGTCAGTGTGACCTCGATGTTATTGTGGCCTTGTTATGGGAGCTCAAGTGTAAGTATTGCATTCATCTGGAAGTCCAAGTGACAGTGTGACATTATTCTGGGAACCCAAGTGCCAGTGTCACAGGTCCTGGGAACCCAAGTGGGAATTCTATTTTACTGAAAACATAAGTGTCAATATGGTATCGTTCTAGGACCTCCATTGTCAGCGTGACATTGTTGTGGGACCCCAAGTGTCAGTGTGCCATCATTGTTCGAACACCCCAAAGGTCAGTTCTAGGATGGTAGGCATCAGTGAGCTGTTTTCTAAGGTCCCATGGCCAGGAATCCAGATGTGTTTCATCATTCTATGACCCAACTGTCAGTTCTGGGATCTCCAGTCTTTAATGGTCAATGGTCCAGTGTACCATTGAGCTGAGATGCCAAGCACCAAAAGGGAACCCCTAATGTGCAGTGCTGCATGCATGTTGCAGGTCTTCGACTTTGAAACTGTTGATGTCAGACACATCCAGTCAACAAGCATTTTAAGAAGGAAGTCAACAAATGGCAATTCACAAACATTTCATGACAAATGTACTGGAAACCAGACAAAGAATTCACAGGTTGGTGACACTAAACTCAGAGGATCTGTGCTGCAATTCTTTCCTTGTGCACTTTGCTGAAGTTCAACATTCACGTGAAGTTTAAAGTTTACATGTTGTAAAACGGGGCCCCAAGTTAAATCCTAATGTATTAATTCACCTTGGACCTATGACGTGTTTGCAGAGCAATGTATTCTCTACCCTCCCATGGCAACGACAGGGTTACTGCAATAACTATTCAGGTAGCTGCTGCAGTCCTTATCAATATACAAACATGTCCTAATCTCTCTTTGCTCTTTAGGCAAACAGCTCCATGTATCAAAGGTATCCAAGAAAATTGATTCTTTTTTTTTGCTGATAGACAAGAGCTCAGGATGGCCAGAGATACCAGATGAGTCTTTGTCTAGTCTACAGACATATTTCAACATGCCCCAACCTTTCCAAAAAATCGCTGAGCTGACCCTTGAACCAAAATCAATTGATCCAGCTAGGTTGGATCTTCCTCATTCACTGCTGTTGTTTTTCCACAGATAAACCAAGGCCTAGGGGTATCTATTAGGGCTCCATCTTCCCCCTCCATAAGTATAAACATGCATGGTCAGGTCAACATCTAAGGTACAATATTTGCAAAGAAATCAATGAGGAAAGCATTTGGTAAAACGTAAACTATGAGGTTGTGCTGACTAAATAAATACCAAACATGTCAAGCTTCAAAATGGCATGCACCCGTGAAATGATGGAAAAAAACTCTGGTACCTCAAATTGTCCATATGTGACGCTTCGAAAGCCTGTGCAGGTCATCAATTTAGAGTTAATTGTAAAAAATGGCAAAGTATTATTGCTCTATTTCCTGCTTAATGAACAGTGTTTCCGTTTTTTTATTATTGATTGGTGGAAGGGGTAATCCAGTCCACCACAAGAAACTACCATGTGTAGACATAGCGAGGAATAGCGATTATAACAAAACAATTATATAGGACCTCCTGCCCCCAGTTATTAAGAAATGGGCTCTTATAGTTTAACTAAGGATAGCTAACGGAACCACTAAGGCCTTAAATACTTTTAAGTGGGGGGGGGGGGGGGGGGCAAGGACTTGAATATTTTTTTGGGGGGGGGGGGGGGGGGAGTACTGTGTCGATATTAAAGACAACCAGATAATTGGCTGTGATGCACATGATATTTGACTGTAACAAATTATTTCTGTATAAAAATGGAAAACCAAAAAAACAATAAAAACTTTGAAATACAAAAAAAACAATAAAAACACAAACACAATAATACAAGTATTATTGCTCTTACTCCGGCATGTGCAACATTACCTAGCGTGTGTGGTTGCTGTTTTCATATGTAGGCACACCTAACATGTTTACATTTGTATCTGCGTGTATGCGAGGGAACTTTAACATTTTGTTTTATTTATTTATTTATTTTCATTAACTTTTTAATGTTTGTTTCCTTTTTTTTTTACACAACTTTGTTGCTACCACAAAGGGGACTGATAGTCCTCTACGTGATTGCTTATTCCTTTTGACAGGTGCTCTTGAAGGAGACAGTATGGGTCTTCAAGACCCTTAATGGAACCTTTGCAGTGAAGCTGATCAAACACAGATCTGTAGCTGGGGAATGACAGCTCAGAACCTGGAAGTGGACAGAATCACTCTGCTCATACCAAGCCGAAGGTTTGTCCATTCTTTGACTAGCATGGGCGAGGTTAAAGACAAGTGGTAAAAAAAAAGCAAAATAATTTCTTTTTTTAATTTAATTTTTATTTCTCGCACAGGGCGCCTAAAGGCCTAAGGCCGGCCCTGTGTATATCTCTCTATTATCTCAGCGTATTTTACCTGTGGTTGCTCTCCCAATGGGGAGAAGAGAGTGGACAGAGAAGGGGCCAACAGTGGGTTGGGCACTGCATTCAAATTTTAAGGGCTGCCTTGCCTCTAACCAAGAGTGCCCACATGTGTACTGAGCTGTTTAACTCCATATGGGCATTTTGGAGGGCTCTTGGCAGGGGTCAGAAACACTACATTTAACCAATTAGATACAGAGGGGGATTTATCAAAACTGGAGCAGACGGAATCTTGGACGGAAGTTGCCCATGGTAACCAATCAACTTTTTTCTTCAATTTGTTCAGTTAAACTATGAAAATGATGAATGAAAGATAGGAGGTGATTGGTTACTATGGGCAGCTGCTTCAAATTCTGTCTGCTCCAAATCTGATAAATTCCCCTTGCTATATTTAGTGGGGGAGGGGGGACACCAAAGGGTCAGCAGTGGGCTGAACACTACATTACAATTTCTGGGCTGCCTTGCCTCTAAGCAAGAGTTCCCTCATGTGTATTGAGCTGTTTAACTCCGTGTGGGCACTTTGGAGGGTGCTTGACTGGGTAAGCAACACTACATTTAAACAATTAGACATAGAATAGTCATGGTTGGGCCCCCTGACTTCATGGGCCCAGGAGCAGCTACACACTCAGCACCTCCTATACCTAAGCTACCAAAACATTTTTGTGGAATTAATTCAGAATTGACTAAAACTTGAAAAAAAAAAACAATGGCTCATTGTACATGTGCTTGTGAGTGCCATCCCAGAAGAAATGCTTTGTTTCACTGTATTTAAAGGCACAGTACAGACTTGGGAGCTTTGCTGCAGTTTGTTTTTTGAAAAGTCCTCCATGGTGCATCTTCATCAGGCTTACCTGCTGGGGTATCTCCTATAGGTTAACGTATGTGAATTGCATTACTGTTTACTGGGGTTTCAAAGGAAACCTGGGACAGATATGAAACTACGTTCTTCTATCTTTATCTCCAACATTCTCTAATATGCATGCGCGTTTCAAGTCACTGAGAGGGGAGAATAACTATCTTTGTTGGACCTGGTGGCCATTGTCCCCCTACTCTAGCCAAATGTTTTGGCACTTTGATACACAGAGCAGCACATATTTGCAGTTAAATACAATAAAATGCATTCAGGAACATACACAAAACCAACAATTCTCTTACAAACACAACATTTAGGACTACAGGTGTGAATGAGCCCTTGTACCTGGCTGTCTCTCCAAATACATGACATACCTTTAACAGTGTTTCTCCATTAGTAGGGCATACATCTTCTCCTACAGACCATCTGCCTTGTGTTCTTCTACCTCCAGCTTGGAAGCAGCTCTGTCTCCGCAGCCTCCCTCCAGGGATGGACAATCCGAGAGCTCAATGGTTTCCTTTGTTTATACACCCCACACCTGTGTCTGCTCCGGAGGACAAGTCCTGCTTGTCACAGGGAGCCAAGTGATTGTCCTTTAGTTCCTGAAAGCTGCCGGTGTCAAATTTGTAGTGTAACTTTCATGCAAATAAAGCTGAAGACAAGGAGAACTTGTGCAAACAGAGGCGTTCCCGGAGCCACGGCTCTGCTGCTGCGTGGTCCAGGAATACCCAGGTGGATAGAAGACACCACATGGCTCGCCGTGTCCCTGCAATACCAGGGAGAGCGAAAGCTGTGTGCGATGCCGTCATAATAGTTACTTTGTAACTCATTAACAGCAACACAGAGAACAGAACATATGTTGATAGAACATGATGGTAAATGCTAAGTAATATAAGTGCTTGTAGTCATTAGTTGACAGTAGACACGCAAGCCGACAGAAAGTTCGTTTCGTTTTTGGTTTGGATCCATTTGGACTTTTTTTTTTTTCGTTGTAAGATCCGAAATTTGGATCAGTTCGATATTTGGATTTCGGATGGATCTGATATTTCGCTTTCGGATCTGTTCGGATTGAGTTATTTACAATTATTTAGAAAAACAGCAACGGATCCCCCCCAATTGATACCAGATCATTTAGGTACGGTAGGAATTTTAGGGGGGAACCCAACGCCAAAAAAACAAACAAAAATAAGCGCAGGGTCCCTCTTATAATCCCTTACCAGACTCTTGATCTGAGCAGCAGGAAAGGGGGGGGGGGGGGATCCCACCTCTGTCCCAATACCAGGCCCCCAGGCCCGTCTCCCCTAAATCTCTTGGTGAGCAAAGTGTACAATCTAATTTTACAGTCTTGTTTGGAATTACTGAAACTAGGTCATGTGAGGGCCTATCTAAACAATCCATTCAATTCCTATCCAATCTGGGAGGCCCTTGCAGTGTATTATTAATAAGAGACCTAAGCCCCAGTTCACGCCTGAGCATTTTGTTGCATGCTTCCTGAAGCGAAACGCTCAACATCAAAGATCCTATTGTTTTTCAATGGTGCTCATTCACGCCTGAGCATTGCTGCCTGTTGCTTGTAGCTCAAAGTGCAAAATAGTACATGGGCTTCTTGAGACTTATCAGAAATCCAGTCTGGGCTCAGAGATGTTTGCACACAGTGGCGCGCAATCCTGCGATAAAAGTTCCAGGTAGGCGCGCATTGGTACACTAGCTTACTTACGCGCAAATGACGGATAGGCGTGCACACATTAGCGCAATGTTGCAGACTCAGGCTATTTAAACAGAGACGAGCATGGAGCCAGTTGCTGCATGGTCGACACCTAGTGCCTGCATTCCTTGCATCTGATCCTGGTACATGTCTTCCTGTGTATGAACCAGCTCATGAGCAACCAACTTTACCTTTGTCTTCTGATCTGGTACCATGACTCTCTTCTTCTCTCCATGTATGACCCTGGCTTACAATCTTTAACTCCTCCCTTGATCATCGTTCCAGTACCGCTAAGACACTGCTTCCTGTGTATGACCTCGGCTTATGAGGGCCAGTGCAGACCTGATCGTGCAGATCGACAGTCGTGCACAATTGCAGACAGCGATTGCCGCGCGGCCCTATTGATTTCAATGGAGCACATCCGCGCGGCAATCGCAGAAAAAATGTACATGTACCTTTTTGTGCGATACACGATGCACGGCTATTTTAGTTTAGATGCACAGGCAGAATCGCGGCGGGAAATCGCATGATCTGCCCAGTGCGACTGGGGTGCCATTAGAAAATAATCGTCAGTGATGCGTGACTCCGAATTGCCACGCGGTATCGTGCACGATTGCCGCGCAGTCACAGGCTCTCTTTCTGCTTCTGATTCTCCATATGGCGCCTGGAATTCCTACCGTGTGGTGTCTGCATACCTGATCTGCGTTCACCTACTCTGCATCATCCATCGGCTCTAGCCTCCAGGGGTTTCCGTGGTCATCCTTATCTGCTCAGTCTCCAAACAGGTATGTGATACTTCTTTTCAGGCAGAACCGCACATTTCTGGTCCTATAGACTGTAATCGGAGCGCCAGAAAAATGTGCGTATTTCCCGTGATTATGCGTCTAACAATTGTCTCCTCTTCCTAGTGACTAGATTTCCATTGGCTAAAACAAAAACAACCAAGCCTGAAACTGGCTGAAAAACATGGGAAAAAAGAGCAAAAAGGAGCTTTAAGATTGTCTGACTATGCTCACACTCAAGTGTGAATGGGGGCTCAAGGAGATTGTACAATCATTGTGATGTGTATTTCCAGCTTTAGAAAACCTAAGTTGCTACTGTTTTCCTTGATCCTGTGCAGGGCTCCCCCTCCACCCCATTTGCCCTAAAACGAGCCATTGTTTTTTACACCTCTAAAACAGGGGTGGGGAACCTACAGCCTTCCAGCCGTGGTGAAACTGCAAATCCCATGATGCATCTGTCTCTGGGAGTCATACCTGTGGCTGTGAGAATCTTGCAATGCCTCATGGGATTTGTAGTTTCACCACAGCTAGAGGCCCTGAAGCTCCTGTTTATTAAAGCCATTGGCCAAGGATATATTATTATATTTTACAGAAGGTGAGTGGGAATATTCCACTGGGGGCACTTGTTACAGTCCCAACTGTCCAAGGGATTTCCCCCACTTGTTGTGCCTCTGGGACAGGAAATAAAAGGAAATCTTCCTAATGGGACACAAAAAAAACCTGGCAGGTGTATGAAGCATTATGCAGGTAGCAGCACGTATATTTGATGGTTCATGTAGTACGAGGGTTAAAGGCATAGTCCACGTTTTGCAAACATGAGGATTAAAAAAAAATGTGCACTCATCTATTTTTTGCATTGGAGCCTGCAAAGCATTGCAACTGTAATCAGTCGATGGCGGATGCAATGCTCAGACTCCTGCAGACCATTCCTCCAGCCCCAGGTCCATACTTATGTACGGCTCTTTGGTTATGGGTAGGGTTGCACAGATACCAAGTACAGTACTCGATACAAGTACGAGTACATGTACCGATACTTTTGAGCTCCAAGACTAGACTAGAGAAAAATTCAAAAATTAGGAGGCCGCTGTCATTTTTAAGGAGCACACGGAGCTCCTGGGATTTGTACATCTCTTTTCTAATGTGTGATTTTGTTTTTATAAATATAAATAAAGGGATGCACAGATACCAGTTTTGCGAGTACGAGTACTGGTACTTGCCGAGTACTTACAAGTACTGATACATTTTTGTAGTGCCTGACATGCAGTGTGTTGTGATGCCATTCATGTTGAATGGATATATTTCACTGCACACACGGTTGGCACTGTATAACTCCTGTATAATAATAATAATAATAATGATATCAAACGCACCAAGGCTCTTGCATTCTAACGTTTTGTGTGACCCATCTGTGCATTAGGGTGTTGCATTAAAATAAAATGGTGCATGTTAGTTGTTCAATGCATTGGCAACCCATTGAAAATTAATAGGCTGCCTTATTGCAATGCATGGTCACCATGCAATGACTCCATGTTACAGTGTCTACCTTCCCGCAAAACTGTGAACATTGCACTGAGCCGAATCATTGGAATAAATGCAAAATATAATCGATTTTCTTCTCTGTGCCTTTAGCACCGGATATTCACCATCTCTGGCTATCACCAAGCAATGGTCCTTTCCTGCCACCTTTCTGCCATATAATAGATCACAGCGGACACATAATCCGGGGGTTTGGAATAGCACTCGTCTCTATTCCAAGTCTAGGAGCCAATCTGGACTGGACATGTGACCTCGTTCGACGTTTAGATTGTTTTCTTTCCCCAAGTATGAGAAGAATTCCCCGAGCGCAGTTTTATCACGGGACACAATGTCATCTATAGATGTAAATGCCGAATCATGCTGAATCAAACAGTTGTTCCCTTGGCGCTACGGAAGGCCAAATGTTGTATCTTACGCACCATGTTCACCTGTGCAGAGTATTTCAACAATTCCGTTATTTGCTATTTAATAAAGTAAATGTAGACTTTAACCAAATGATATTTACATTGCTAATACATTGTGTATCATAAACAATCACCATGATTTTTTTAAAGCATCACTGTCAGTTGCCCATAAAAATCCTGCAATACGGGAGGTCGCCTTTGCTCAGTCCCAGCACTGAAGCCTTCATCAGACTCTTCGGCATTTGACACTTCCAGGTGTGTCACATACCTGTGTCCCCTACCACGCACTGTGATTTCATCCTCCGACCCCCACGTCACAAGCCTGTGGTTACTTGGGGGTTAAAGAATGGTACCTCCTTAGCTCAGGTGAAACAGGAGTAGAAATGTTTGACCTGGGGGCCAAATACAACCTACAAGCCCTTTTTTGGGTAGGGATTGTGGGCTAAAGAAACTGTACCATGCAAAATGTGCCACGGTGCCATATTGATTGGTAGGCATGGTGAAAAGTGGGTATTTTTATAGGGCATGGTTTATTGTGACGCATCTTTCAGCATTGGCTTCCTTTGCCGCTCTCGACATCCAATCATATGATATTTTAGGGCCACCAGAAAGTTAGTGCTTGAAGACTTCCCTCTGCTAGACTGTGATCACAGATCAGAACCTGGAGCAGGTAGCTATATAATGCCCAGCATGTGTCGCTGACTGGAGATTCCACTCTGATGGATGTGTGAATGGTGAAGGATCTTCACTCAGGGCCACCATGCCAAAATATCTTATTAGTAGTGGTCCAGGGGCAAAATGCTCCTCTGCCCATCTGCCCAGTTTTCCCCTGGACACAGACATCTGACACTGATGGAAATCTGATGGAGGCTTCAGCACGGAACTGAGGGAAGGTAGGAGGACGCACAGGCCACTGGAGGGATGAGTATAATACTTCTTCTATTGCAGGGAACATCCTTTAAAAGAGAACTATGGGGTAAGTGTTTTTCCCCATAATTCCCTTTAGGGTAACGGTAGGACATTAACTAGCGTCCTCCCGTGACCCAAAGCTATAGCTCGCTGTATACTGAAGCCCGTGACACACTGCACGCAAAGCCGCGCAGAACGAAGCAAAGCTGTCATGTACGGAGCTCATTGAAGCTGATCAAGTACAGATCGCGGTCAGCTTCTTCTCCATCTTCTCTAGCCGGGGAATGACAGCTCAGGAACAGAAAGTGATGCAATCGGCGTCACTTCCGGCTCCATTCAGAATTTCCTAACATTCTAACATTGTTTCTTTTGTAACTTTTTTTGTTCTCCTTTTCATACTTTCATAAAACCAATGCTAAAAATTCCT